TGGTCTTCACATATAGCAAGCGGTGTTCTGATCTGTTTCTCTTCGCAGTAAACTCTTCCGACGTTGTGTTTCCCAAGTTGTGCTTTTATTACACTTGCTTTACATGACAAGTTGCCGGTTGTCTGAAGTTACATCAGTAAAGAAACTTTCCATGTAGTTCTGCTCATTTTTGTGCTAAGTTTGGCAAACCGACTTGGTTGTTTGGAGAGTGTTTCGATAGAGGATCCAAATGTGAAGTCCAATTTAAAGAAAAAATAATTCAGCCAGCTACAACATGCTTGATTTCAAGTACAGTTAAATGAACAGCTTTCTATTATAATGGTTTTATTTTCAAGAGTATGAAAGTGAGAGATTCGAATTACAAACTTTTCAAGCAATTATATTAGCTGGCTTTCAAAATTGGCTTTAGTATATGGCCATTATCAGATCAGGCTTTGGTGTACCGACGATATCTGCATGTAAGTAGTAAAAGTTACTGTCTCATCTCTTTAATAGGCAGATATTTCACCTGTTATCTCTCTCACTTCAGAGAGCTTTTAATTTATTCAGCCGTTGTTTAGGATGAGATTATTTGAATGCTTAACATACTTGGCTTTCATTCGATAAAAACCTATAGTACAGTTTATTCTCAAAAAGAAAAATAAGGGGTTAATACAGTTCAGTAGTGTGGTACGATAATGTCAAGGCAGAAGTCGAAGGCGATTCAAATGCTTCTCCTCCTTAGTAATGGCAGAATTCCGTAAGGGTGGACTTTATTGTCATCATAAGTTGAGCAACCTGTTCAACCCTACGTTTTGTGACTTAGTTTGTAACTTGTCAAATGTGGGGACAAATACAGCTTTTTTGCCTCAGCAGGGCTTGCATTCAGAGATTGAGAACGTGCCTCTTACAGAAATACTGTTACTCCAAATGTTACAAGTATTTTTCAGACTTTGGGAAGCACACATATTTTATTCTACACCTAGAATTTTATTCTACACCTAGTTCAGCTAAAAGTATTTCTCATCTGTATCAAACTTGCATCTGGCACGTGTCTGGAAGCACTTGTTTAAAATATACTTAAATATACTTAAAAATACTTAAATATACTTAAATATACTTTAAAATGTACTTAAATGTTATTGTGTGATTATACGTTTGCAACATTTTTAGAATGTGATGTTCTTGTCAAATACCTAGAAAGCATTTGCTGATTATTTTTTTCATAGATTGTTCTATCCATTTGCTGAAACGTTGAACTAGGGAGCCCTGTGGATGAATGGTTATTTTTACAGTAATACTGGTTTCATTTTGATTACAAACTAGCTGCCTTTTCTTGGTTTAGCTTAATTCTTAGCTGCATCTCAGGCTATGCTTATTAAATAGCTAGTAACTACAAAATCAGGTTTTGAAAAACGTCTTTGAAGGTGTGTTTGACATTACCAGCTGTCTGTAAACTAGGGATCTCAAAGCTCTTCCAAAAACTAATTAGGCCTGATGACACATTTGTGAGGTATGCACCCATTTCGTAGTTGTGACTTTTCTGAATTTGAGTCATAGTCCCGAGTAAAACATAGGCAATCTTGTTTAATTACTAAACTGGAAAAATTCTTGAGTAATCTGAAACTGCACTTTGCCCTTCATATTTTTTGAATGGTTATGTTTCCAGGGGTTTATTATTTTATAGCTATTGCTATATACATTTAGCACAGTTTAGCGTTAACTGTATATTCCGTGCGATTTTGAAATTGTTACTGGAGTGGACTGTCCAGTTGCTCACAACTAAAATGGGAACTGGTGACTCATTCAATAAAAGCTCCAGCAGAATCAGCAGAAGTACAGCATGGGTAGGTGTGTCCACTTGGTAACAAGTTAACTGCTGAATGGAATTGCATCCTTTTATGGCACAGCCTTTTTATGGCTAAAATGTAATGAAAGTAAGCCGGTTTTACTAGTTGTGAATTTTAATAAGAGTAGCTTGTTCCTGATTGCAGATGTATTCTAGTAACATTTTAAAATCTATTGTAGAATAACAGTGTGGTGTTAGTTAAGCAGAAATCTTTAATTTTTTTTGTATTTCTACTCCATAGAAGAGATGAGGAGAGCTGATGAGAGTTTCCATCCTCTATGTCTTTGTGGAGAAATTGTATCAAAGATACCTGCTCACTATTAGTTCAGAGCAGTAATGTCTGCGAAGGCTAGCATGGACCTGCTTTGAGTCAGATGTTTGGGAAATGTGTCCAGGAACACACATTTTTGAGGAGTGTAAGGATTATTCTAGAAGTAATTAGCATGAATTAGAAAAGCCTCTTTTCTAGTAAAGGAAGCCCTGTTACTACTTCTGGAAATAATGAACTGTTTGTTGCTGGCACTTTTGCTGGTGCCGTCAGTAATAATTCTAATGACTTCCAGGGCAATACCGAAGTGTTAGATGCTTCTGCTGTGGCAAGTCAGATATCCACAGTTCTTTTTTTTTTTTGTCTTTTTTTTTTCATGGTAATATGAAGTCTTCCAATGCTTTTCGTTTCTCTCCTGCTTCATTTATATTAAAGTTTGAGAAAGCTTTGTTAACTTAAAAGACTGGCAATGTTGGGGTTTTTTGTGGCTTCGCCTTAAATCAGTTGTTGACTTGCTACTGGCATGTGAATATGGTAATATTATTATCAGTAGTTTTTTACAAGAAGTTTTTTACAAGAAAATACTGCAAGTCTGTTGCATTAATTTCTACAGATGTCGTTCAGAGAATATAATCTTCAAATTCATTTGTAATCTTGAAAACGTGTGAAGAAGGGACGTAAAACATGGTACCAGCTGAACAGAGGCTGATTGCAAATCTGCTTTGGCCATGATATCCACCAATGTAAAGATAAAAGCAGCACTTGACAAAAAATAAGGGTTTTCACAATATTGATTGACCCTTGGTCTTTCTCCTAAGAAAAGCAATTAACTGACATGGTTACTGTTTTAAAACTAATACTAAGCTGCTTTCAGTCTTGTTAACTTCACGTTGCTCTGCTATATGCAAATTGCAGTGATGTGAGTTAGTACCAATGGATGTGACTTCAGGTATTTATTGGGACTTTTTTCGGTGTTCTTCCAGATGTACAGGAACAGTGGCAAAAAGGAGCTAATGTAGGAGATCATAAAATATGTCTGGCATGCTTGAGAACTGTTGCTCTTTCTTGCTTAAATACCTTGTTGACTTAAAACACGACAGATGTGTCTTGTTTTGAAGGGACATAGGAAAACTGAAGAAGTCTTGATACTTCCCTATCTAAATACACTGAGATCTCAAATTCAGGCTTTGGAGAGTTAGTTATGGAGTTCTACTGGAAAAACTGCTCTATTGGAGTAACCTGGTTTACGTTACTTCATTTTGCTGTTTTAATGCTTGCTCCTTCATTGAGCGTGTATGAACTTTTAATATGTATATAATTTCAGATTTTCAAAATTAAGTACTAGTTTTAATTCTCTTTGAACTGTTCCTTGCTGGGAAGTCCATCACAGATCTCTCTTGTCACTAAGGAAGGAGTTGTGCAGAACCAGGCTTGAGCTGCAGCTAGCAAAGAAATTTTGTCAGTTTAAGGGTATTGGTAATTTAGTAGTTCTTATCTTAATGTTTGCAAAAGGCCTCATCTAGGCACAAGCTGTACCCCTAAAAGCATTTTCATTGGTACAGTATATGTCTATGTGATGTGGTAGCGGCCAGCTGATTTTTCACAAATGTTAAAACTTTTCCTCCTGTGGAATAGGTTGTAATTGCCATCAATTGATAAATTTTCTCCTGTCACCGTACCATCTTTTCATAGTGGGGTCCAATCCTTTAGGCTTCTGGGATTTCTAGTTTGTTCAGCTGACTTGTGCTCCTTCCTATTTCCTAAGCACAGCTTTTGCTGAGGAGTTTTTGCCAGTTTTTATTTGCATAAAACAAAGTGGGGTTTATGAACATTGGAAGTTTGGGTTTGCATCTTGGAGGTGCTGGACTTATAGTAGTAAAAATTTTATGAAGAACTTTGTGCTATTTGTGTGCTTATTAAGATAACTAGCATTTCTGACTAATTCCATGATGTTTTTCCAGCTGAACGAGCTTTGGATACCATGAACTTTGATGTCATTAAAGGCAAACCAGTGCGCATCATGTGGTCTCAGCGCGATCCATCTCTACGCAAAAGTGGTGTAGGAAACATCTTCATCAAAAACTTGGACAAATCAATTGATAACAAAGCTCTGTATGACACATTTTCTGCTTTTGGAAACATCCTGTCTTGTAAGGTTAGTGGAAAATCATTGGTGCATTTAATGGTTTGACACAAAAACCCCTGAATTTACACTGGAAACATTCCATGGATATTACAACTGAGTTTTTCTTTAATAGGTGGTATGTGATGAAAATGGGTCCAAGGGTTATGGATTTGTACATTTTGAGACACAAGAAGCTGCAGAAAGAGCTATTGAAAAAATGAATGGTATGCTGCTTAATGACCGCAAAGTGTAAGTACATAAATATGTAGTTGGGAGTCAATGGACTGAAATTAATTTTACAGCAGACAAATATTTAAAGCTAACGTAGAAAAGACGGGTTGTTCTAAAATTTTCTAATTTTAAGGAGTATTTAGAATTTTAGTGCTAGGAATACTATAAAATGTGTCACCTGCCTATTCTAAAGGCAGAATAAGTTCAAAAAATACTAATAATTGACTCTAGGGAAAAAATTGTTGTATTAGTTGTCTTACAAGCCACTGCTCTAATGAGGATTTGGGAACTTCTCTGGTTTTCTGGTCTTACTGGTCTGAGATAAAATGCAATCCATCAGGCATTCTGAATAATACTTCCTCTATAAGAGTTGTGAAATAGGTATGTCAGTCATTTTTGGATGAAACTTAAAGATCTAGAGTTACTCAGTCCTGAATAGTGACCGGTCAGATGACACTAACGTTGTAATATGAATGTCTGTTAATAGGCATATCTAGGAAATAGGAATAGAAAATGAAACTTACAGAAACATAATGTTTTAAACATTATCACTGTTCTGTACTGCACGGAAAAAAACATTATTTGGCTACTTGGTTAGTGATATCTAGGCCGAGGGGAGGGCAAGTGGGCCTCACGGCTAGGTCTAAGGGATCATTATGGTATTTGGTATAGTTACAAAAGAATAGCTCTGTAAATACTTGAGAGGGTTTGGAAAAAGGATAACAGAAATCAGCATCAGCTTAACGTCATGGATTATTTTTACATGTAGAGATGGGTGAATCAAGCCACATATGGGGAGAACATATATTTTTGAGACTTTAGTTTTCCTGCTTGTTCTGTGCGTGACTGGTATACTGTGGATGTTTTTACTCAGCTTCCATCTTTATACAACCTTTCTAAATTCGTAAAAAAAGGACAGCATGTATTCACAAAAGCACATGATTTACATAAACTTTGATAAAATACATCATAAGAGTTAATTTGCTTTGAATTTCTATTCAGGCTAGGCTTTTAAAAGTGAATTAAAGTACTTCACTCACTATCAAAATCTGCTGAACACATTGCACTATCGTTCTTACCATCCTTGATTACTTTAAATTGGATGAAGTTGGCAAAGTTTAAGAAAATGTTGAGTTACTGTATGCTGCTTTATTGGACTTGTCAGATTTGGAAATAAGAAGTTGGACAATACACTAAAATTTGAGAGCAAAAGTCTACTACAATCAGAAATCAATGTTGGCAGTATAATGTCTGTACTAGAGCAGTTCCTTGGGTTGCAGAGTGTTTTGTTCAGATTCTGTTCTTTCTCTGACAGTATGAACTGACCTTTGGTGTTCCCAGCCAATTTGTGATGGTATTTGACTAAAGAGCAAGTTGAACTATTTATTTCTCTGTCTATTGGGGAAGGAAAAAAAAAAAAAAAAGTCTTGCTTTGATATAGGCTGGAAAGGTGTGTGAGGGAGTTAGTTGTAGAGGTTAGTTAAATATGCCTTGCTTAAACTGGATGGAAGAATGGTAACTGCTTTAAGGCTACCAAGTTTTTAGTATGACAGAGGGATTATGCTGATATCTAGAATTTCTGTTTAGCCACTTTACCTAGTACTGTTTCCCATTGTCCAGCTCCTGTTGTCAAAGGCTGTTTTGTAAGAGTGAACAATCTCGCCAATGGCTTGAAAGCATTTTTGTGCTGCACACTAATGTAGCAAAGGATAGTGAAATTGTTTTTCTGATGGAGCTTTATCATAAATATTTTATCTAAAGAATTACATGCCTATAATGAACAATAAGACTGATTAAGAATACAATGTGATGCCAGAGGATTAAAGTAAATTTTTTAACCTTGACAGACTTGCTTTAATCTACACTGTTCTGTTCTCCTGCAACTAGATTTGTTGGAAGGTTTAAATCTCGCAAGGAACGTGAGGCAGAGCTTGGAGCCAGAGCAAAGGAATTCACCAATGTTTACATCAAGAATTTTGGAGAAGACATGGATGATGAGAGACTTAAGGAACTCTTTGGCAAGTTTGGTAATGTCTTGAACTTTAAGTTTATATAAACATGAGTGAACTTCAGCTTGCTTCTAATATCTATCTGTACAGTGCCTTATAATACAAGGAATCAGCTGGCTGTCTGATGTTCATTTAAAAAAATAAAAAAAGGTACTGAAAAGTTGGTACTTAATTCCAATTTTGGATTCAAAGTGCAGTAATATCCACTGCAGAATTTTAAATTAGCAGAATAGCATACATAATCTTGTCATCAGAATTGTTTTCTGAAAATGATGTGTCTAAATAGTCTTTTGAATGGGTTTTGCAATTTTTTTAAGTTGCAAGTAGAAGTGTTTTCTCTTTTAGTACGGACTGATGTTATGAATTCGCTACAGGATACATGACAAATGAGTTTGCTGTTGCTGTCACTGACCTGTGGGCTTACCTTTACTTGGAGTATCTCTGTTTCATTATTCAGTTGCATTGTGGTGGTTGACCTAATATGAAATTATAAGGCAAGCTTTCTGTTGGCAAGCTGTTTGGGTCTGTCTTGATCCTCAGTTACGCATGGGGAAAAATTATGGCAGACATATGATCGTGATCTAGTAATGTATGTGATGTGTCACCATCAAAATAGGAAACAGCAAACTCCTTAATTCTGTTACAGATTCTTGTACTGGTTTATAGGGCACATCTATTTTTTCAACCTCAGCTTTTTTTTTTATGTTTTCTTTCCTCCATGCTTTTGCTGATCTCCAGTGGCTAGCTTGTAAAACAAGACAAAGCCTTGTATATAAGATATTCTATAGCAGCCCTAAGCAGCATATACAGGAAGTTCCTTTCCACTGTTGAAGTATCTGTGGTTGAAAAGGTAGTGAATTTAGCTGCTAATACTGGTCCAGAAAACCTCAGTGAACTGCACTTTTCCAATAGTTTGGAATTGCTGAACTGGGATGGTCTTTCACCAGGATAAATGGTGAAAAAAAGCCTCCACTCTGGCTTTCCGTACCCGTTGCAAAGGATGCGAGCACTAACACTTTTTAAATGTTGTAATTTTTAATGAGAAAACAAATTTCATTCACTTAAAGGTGAAATTCTTACCCCATTTTGGGTGAAAATACAGTAGAAATTCAGCATGGCAGACTTCAGCCTTAAGGGCTGAAGTTCAGCATCAGGGAAAATTGGCAATTTTGTATTAATGGATGATGTTTACTGGATACTATAATTGATGCAGGAGTCCTTTGTAATACAAGTGAAACAAACTAAATATTAAGACTTCTAAACAGGATGTTCAAAACACAAAGAGAATACACTCTCTATACGAAGCATAAGTATTTCATTCTCTTTTTAGGTCCTGCCCTAAGTGTCAAAGTTATGACCGATGAGAGTGGAAAATCCAAAGGCTTTGGCTTCGTTAGTTTTGAAAGACATGAAGATGCCCAAAAAGTAAGCTTTTGGACTTCATTTTAGGAACTTGATAACTGAGGCGCAAATAATGTTTCATTGAGTGATTTGAAATCTTGCGAACTCATTAAGCGGTTTTAATTGGTCAAGGACACTGCAAAAACAGGTGTCAGCTTCCTAAATGACTTAGCATAGTTTCTGCCATTTAGAATGCTGTCTTATGAGCAAATGTCAGTTCATTTGAGGAGCTTGTTAAGTCAACATACTCTGAGACAGCTGGAACTAGTGTAGAAATGGGGAATCTTGAATGATGTGATAACCTGTTGTAGTTGGGCTGTCTCAATGAGATTTGGACTCCCTCATGCTGGGCAACATACAAGCACAGTAAATTATTACATCTCTGCAAAGCCCAGATGAATCATTGGATCCATTGCGGTTGCACAAAACATTTGTGCAAGGCAGAAAGGATTGTGTTTTCAAACTTCAGTGCTGCAAAGTCAGCAGGAAAGCTGTTAGTTTTATGGAGCACGTTTGGCACAGCTGTAAGAAAATAGTCATAGAGCCCTGTGATGTTGCTTTTACTCTGAAGAGTAGCTTGGGAAGAAGGGTCCTTTTAATTTGTGTGTGTGTCTGTAACATGCCAGTATGCTGTATAACTTGATTCTTTGTCAGCTGGTTGCTTTGATGTGTCACTTGACTCTGGCAGTAGGGACATAGGATCAGGAGAAAAACTCAACACAGAACAAATCATGGTAACAAATGAAGTTTGCTTTTCAAAAGGTGTTTCTGTGATTTGTCAGTAGTGCAAGTGTACAAACAAGATTAGAACAAATCCCATCTGTCTTACATCTACATTGTTCAGTCTTGCATGCATTTGTAGATGAATTGTTTCTCTTACGGTAGTCAGAACCACATGTACGGTGTTTTAAGTAATATAACTATCTACTGAGATATTAAGAATTTTAATTATGAAGGTATACAATCCCTTCTGTGACTTCTGATTTTAAATTGAATTGAATCTGTGCCAGAGTTTTCACATCTTAATACTGAAAACATCTTAAAGGAAAAAAGTTCATATTTTCATGCTCTTTAAGTATTTCCTTAATGAAAGAATAAAAATTTTTTAGAAAGCCAACGATGCCAGCTGTAACTTAACATACAGTAAAAAAAATCAGATAGATGCTACAGTTTCAGATGTTACTTTTAAAAACAGAAGGTGAGTATGTGAATTAGAGCTTTTCAACTTAATTTGCTTTATTTTTTCTGACTTTAGTATGATCAGGTTTGAGAAATAGTTCTTCATTGTGTGAGCTCAGTACTTTTTTTTCAACTTCATACAAGAAAAGTCTTTTTCATCCCTTCTGACTTTTCGTTTAACTGGACAGAAGCACACTCAGAAAGCAATTTCCATTTGACTTTAAGCAGGGAAGTCTTGGGGTATTTTGTTTCAGCTAGTGATATATTAGAGATTTTCTGGAATCCTTATGTAACTGTTTATATTTGAATTTTTTTTTTTTGTATGCCTGAGAAACAATGTAATACAAAGCTGTGCTAACCTCTTGTTTATTAATGAAGGCTGTAGATGAGATGAATGGGAAAGAGCTCAATGGGAAACAAATCTATGTTGGCCGGGCTCAGAAAAAGGTGGAAAGACAGACGGAGCTGAAGCGCAAGTTTGAACAAATGAAGCAGGACAGGATCACCAGATACCAGGTTCAGTTTTAATTCAAGAGGACTAAATTTATTCTACAATATTTTTAGATTTACACAGACCATTTGCTTTCAACAATAACTTGCCTTTTTTTTTTTAGGGTGTAAACCTTTACGTGAAAAATCTTGATGATGGGATTGATGATGAACGTCTTCGAAAAGAATTCTCCCCATTTGGTACAATCACTAGCGCAAAGGTAAAAGTTTATAAATTGTGCTCGTCCTTTCTCTGAAAATGAACAGTGATCTTTCACCAAGGAAGAGTGATCTATTTCATTGACTAACAGGTGTGACGCAGTCACTTATCACTGCTACTATATACCATATACATCGACATCTGCTTTCTTGATTATTGTACATCTTAGGTTAAATGCGTATGATCATGCTGTCTTGAAATAAACTGAGTACTGATATTAATGTGAGAAAAATTAAATCTTCTCAGTGCAATAATGTGCTCACTATTACTTCACTGAGATTTTCGTCTGTATTTAGTAAACAGCTATTCATTAAGCAATTATATTCCTTTTTATAAATCAATTCAGTAAAACAAACCTGTGGTCTTGCTTCTAGTAATCTGAAAAAAGAAATCAATGCAAGTTGAGTAGATATGATATTATCTTGTTTTAAAGCTGAATTTTATACTGACAGGTCATGATGGAAGGTGGCCGCAGCAAAGGATTTGGATTTGTATGCTTTTCATCACCAGAAGAAGCCACCAAAGCTGTCACAGAAATGAATGGTAGAATTGTGGCTACTAAACCATTATATGTAGCTCTAGCCCAGCGTAAAGAAGAGCGCCAAGCTCATCTCACCAACCAGTATATGCAGAGAATGGCAAGTGTAAGAGCAGTACCTAATCCTGTAATCAACCCTTACCAGCCAGCACCTCCTTCAGGTTACTTCATGGCAGCTATTCCACAGGTACGTATAGAGATGAGTAACTGAATGTTTTGTACTGCATATAAAATCTGCTTAGATTTGACAGTAAGTAGTAACTATTAGCACATGCCCATAATTTCAGCATTCTGATTTCAGAGCAGAAAGGTGATGGACTTCAGCATGCCCTTCAAAGATAATAAAGTTACACAATGTTTTTATATTTGACAGACTCAGAACCGTGCTGCATACTATCCTACTAATCAACTCGCTCAACTTGCTAGACCTAGTCCTCGCTGGACTGCTCAGGGTGCCAGACCTCATCGTAAGTCACTATACTCCTTTCCAGTGATTGCAATAAACCCCATAGCATTTACCTTTGCACTTTTAAATAAATTTTCATGGCATTACAGTATCAGTCTTCTCTTTGTCACATTTCTGAACTCTTCTCACCATTCAGTGTTCCAGCATGTAACTTAATATATTTTCTCTAAAACATAGCATTCCAAAACATGCCTGGTGCTATCCGCCCAGCAGCACCCAGACCACCATTTAGTACCATGAGACCAGCTTCTTCACAAGTTCCACGAGTCATGTCAACACAACGTGTTGGTGAGTTTTAAGTATTCGGCTTTTTTAATTTTGCTGATTCAGAATGATCTCTCAAAAGCATTCGTAAGTTCAGTATCGGATGTGGTAACAATTCCCTCCTTTTCTGGCTCTTGCTAAATCAGTAAGCTAGTATCACCTTCTAGTAGTTACTTTAAATATTGTCCCAGGAAAGACTCCTGCTGTGCTCCCATTTCTTTAGCATGAAACATTTCTTCTTTTAGTGTGCATTTTAATAATACTGTGTGACAGCTGCTGCCATTTCTAAACATCGTTGTGGCAATTGTAATAATAGGTTGCATGTAGACATACTGAGTTGAATTTAGCTCTTATTATTTTGTCATAGAATACTGTGAGCCAGTGTCTGGTATGCAGAATCTGAATGAACCAGCATTGATTGTAATGGAGTTTTAATTCTCTCAGAATGTATTAGGCAGTAGTATTTTTTAGCTATCTACTTCATGAAAGTATCTTTCTTAGGATGACTCTTGATGTAATGTGCTCAGAAAATCAAGTGTCCTTTGAGGTTAGAATGAAATTAAATTACTACACAATCAAAATGAATGTGTTCTTACAGATATTTTTTTTTCAATAGCATATAAGAAAAGCAATTCATTAGTGAAGTGACTGGAAAGTAACATCCAGTAAACTTTGAGCTTTGATTCTTCAGATGTGACCAGTGATGTGACAGTTTACAACACTACTGAGATGAAATGATAATATAATATCTAAATTAGGTATTCAGTTTAGGCTGGTTTGTTGTTTGTTTTTTTTTTTTTAACTTGTACAGTGTAGGCTAAATAAAAAAACGAGTTATTCACATACGGAATTGTTATCTTTTCAGCTAATACATCAACACAAACAATGGGTCCACGTCCTGCAGCAGCAGCTACTGCAGCTACTCCTGCTGTACGGACAGTACCACAATACAAATATGCTGCAGGTGTTCGTAATCCTCAGCAGCATCTTAATACACAGCCGCAAGTTGCTATGCAGCAGGTATGTAATTTTAGGAACTGGTCTATGCTGGTGTTTTCTGCAGAGGAAGGGGGAGGGTGTGCTCATGATTAAGAGTAGTCTTTGTTATTCTAGAATTCAGGCTCTGCATTGTGACAGCAGAGTTACAGCCTTAGGGTTTTAAGTATATTTCAAGTTCACCTGGAACAGGATGTGATCCTGTGTTACTTCATATTTTCCAGTTGCTTGATACCTTAGCCTGAATTCTCCTTGTGTTTGCTCCACAATGGAGTGGTTGATTAACTAATCTTCAGCATCACTTCGCTCTAACTAGCACTGTTTGATTAAATTGACTTAGTTGTTATTTCTTCCATGTCTCTGACAGTGTAGGCATTGTTTATGCTGAGTTGTGGAACATTTGATACTTGAAGCTGCGCCTAATTATGAACTAGAATTTAATATTGAAATGGTGTTAAATTAATTTGCAGCCTGCTGTCCATGTGCAAGGTCAGGAACCCTTGACTGCTTCCATGTTGGCTTCTGCCCCTCCACAAGAACAAAAGCAGATGTTAGGTATGTACATGATACCTTTCTCTATGCCTTGCAGCAGAAGGACAGTCAAAGTACTCCTTTTATCAATCTTAAAATGCAGAATAGATGGTTTTAGCAGTAGAACAAGGCATTTGTTTCCCGTTTCCCTTAAATCTGGGCTATGTTTGTCAGATGACATTTGTCACTCTGATTAACTTTTTCCCTCTCCAGGTGAACGTCTGTTTCCCCTCATTCAAAGCATGCACCCTACTCTGGCGGGTAAGATCACTGGGATGTTGTTGGAGATTGACAACTCTGAACTCCTCCACATGCTCGAGTCTCCTGAGTCTCTTCGTTCGAAGGTAGGTGGACTTCAGCCTTACACTAGTTTTATCAGCAGTTAACTCTACACTGGTTTAACAGGTGTTTACAGTGGCACAGTGGAGTAGCAGCAATTTGACAGTGGCCCAGGGTGACAAGTTAGAATACCCTCTTTCAGAGGGTGGCAGTGACTTACATCCACATGAACTGGGACTGTAATGGTATCCTTTCCTTTTTAACAATGCAGGCATTGTTTGTATGTATAATTTAAACTGTTTCATTAGCTTAAATATACAGAATTTACTAAGCTTCCCTTCATTAATTTTTCTTTTTTACTTCACAGGTTGATGAAGCTGTAGCCGTACTACAAGCCCACCAAGCTAAAGAGGCTGCTCAAAAGGCAGTTAACAATCCCACTGGGGTTCCAAGTGTTTAATAAGTAAGTTTTCTGAGCACTGTAGGTCGACTGTGGCAGTAATCCTTAGTCCGTGGCCTTATGAGCAACGTGCTTCCAGGCTCTGTATCATTTGCAGCCAAAGAAAGTAGCAGCTGTGGTCACAGTTGTAAACAAATTTTGTTCTTGAGCCTGTTGTCCGGTTCTGTAGCTGTTGGTTAGCAAATGCTACTGACATTTTGTCTTGCGTATTTAGCTGTTTTTAACAGCATGTTTACCTGAAATTAGTTCTAGGCATGTGTGCAAAAATGGGCAATTCTGTCAAGCACTACTATTTGTACTGTTGTTCAAGAGGAACTTGTGGAAGTAAGCCTAAAACAACATTCCAATCCTATTTTTCTTTGCAAGTGAAATAGCTTATTTACACTATAATTTGTAAATACTTGCCAAAATCTGAAATTATACAGTAATTAAAAACTAAACTATGTATTGTCTTGACTTCACATTTTGGTGAATTTAAATTTAATGTCGATTAAAATACTGATTTTTCTTTATTGCCTTCTGTGGGGTTAGTATCTTAATTTGCATGACAGGAAGAGACAAAAGGTGGTAACTTTACAATTTTGAAAGGGGAAAATGTTGTGGAGTTGAGAGTGATACAGGAATCTATTCTCTATTAAGTGCAGTTAGGTTTTGCCTGTCCACATTTGCCTTTGTACATTTATAGCTGTCCATTGAAGATGCCTGCTTTAACATTTGATCACCTAAAATTTTCTTTATTTTTGGTCTTTTCGTTCCTGCAACTTTCCTTTTGTAGGCAGAATTTGAACCTTGGTTTTTCCACACCTCTTTCTTTTTCTGTATTTTTTTTTTTTCTGCTAGTGATACTTTCACACTGGAGATAGACAACTTATTCAGCACTTGTTTATCCTAAACTAAGATGCCCAGACTTTGAGACCATTACTCTGTGTGCTCCATGATGTTTTAGTCATTGGAAATTGAAAATATTGCTACTGTAGTTATTTGATGAGCCTTGGTATGCTGGCCTTAAGAGTGGAGGTGACATGCAGTCAAGTTAGTTGCAGTTAACAAATTATCATGTGTAGCCATTGTCCAAGGCTGTGCTGCTGTGCAGAGTACTGTCTAGTTCTAGACTCAGTTTTGTCTCACCAAGTATCACAGACTTGGGATGCTTTACTTCCACGACTCTAAAAAGTGGGGGATACCTCTGATACCCTGCTTATAAAGAACTTTGGTATCATTGATACTGTGAAAGCCCAAAGTACTGTCAGGCTTACAGTTGCAGAAAGCATATGAGAAATCATAAGGTACTGCTTTAATTTTAAAACCTAATGACGTTGTTTTTGTTTGCAGAAAGATCCGGGACTACAATCTAGAACTTCGCTTCACCGAAGAAAAAAAAAAAATCTAAACATGGAAAAACTATTAAATATTGAGAAAAACATTGCAAAATATAAAATAAATAAAAAAAGGAAAGGAAACTTTGAAGCTTATGTACAGAGCAACGCCGGGGCTAGCAAAACAAATGCTAGTCCTAGATTACTTATTGATTTAAAATTTAAAAAAAAATAGTAAAATAAAAAATACAAATTAATGTTTTATAAACCCGGGGGAAAAGAATTTTCAGCACAGTAAAAAAATTTAAAGCATTCCTTTCTTTAATTTTGTAATTCTTTACTGTGGAAAAGCTCAGAATATCACCACTGTTTTAGTTGACAGTGAGAATTGATAGCTGAGCAAAGAAACGTAATTTGGATTATAAAATTCTTGGTTTAATAAAAATTCCTTAAACACTGATTTACTTGTGATTATTTTGTACAGTGTACTTCTGATAAGGTTGTCATTCTGAATAACAAGTTAAAATCCCACTGTAGTGTGTTTTAGCAGTTTCTAGAGAAAAATTAGAGTACCTATAGCTGCCTGTTATTGATAATATAAACTTAGGTATTAAAACAAGTGAAAAGAGCCGTTAAATCCATATCTGGGGTTTAAATCCTTAATAGCATGACGTCTGCACTCTTGTCATTGACTAATTAGAAGTAGACCTTTAAATACCCCCTACTTTGAGATGATCAGTAAGAAATATTACTATAAAAGGCCTGTGTTGGAATTGTGTAACGTACCAGCACATGATCCCATTGACGACCTGCATGTGATGTTCGTTCCCACAGGTGCTGGTGGAAGGAACAATTTCTGCACAGGTCTCTGGCTGTGTCTTTAGGTGGCTAATGAACCCTGAGATGGATGCAGTCATATGGATATAGGTGAATGAGCAAGGACTGGCTGCGCTAGACAGCATTGCAAAATTCTCTTATTGTCAATGTATGAACACAAGGCATTCCTAAAACAAAACAGGTGGGGCTTCAGGAGGCAATGTATTAAAAATTGAATGTGTAGTAATAAAAAGATCATGCTTTTTATACAGTAAAAATCCTGTGGACAGGACTGCTTAATCCTCTGAGTCAGATGTTTCTAATGCTGTGTTCCCTAACAAGTGGATGGCTATTGTTAGCTATGGTTTTTTTTAGCCCTCTCTTAATAAGAGACCAGTTGGTTTAATTTTAACTGCTACATTTTGGGGATTTTAACGTGCTTAACAACTCCTTGTCAGAGGCAACTTTGAAAGTCTCAGCTAGCTCTTTGGTAACTAAATTATTGAATTATTACTGAAAAGAAAATACAGCTGGGGGCTTTAAATCAGCAGATTTGAAAACTAAGAAAGTGATCTGAAATTGAATACTTATTATTTAATATTCACTACCAAGATTGTTTCAGTAATTTCCAGTTCTCATGTGTCACAGAGCTCTGCATACAGTGAGCTTATGTGAAACTTTGTGGGTTTTTTTATCCAATTTGTGAATGGTGAAATAATTCTAGCCGTTTTACTGGCTCCAGGAATCTGCTTTTCCTGCAAAAGGTGACCTTCCTGGTTCGTCCTTATACTTGACTGTCATTTAAAAAATATAATTGAAAGGGAGAGGGTGCCTTTTTAAAAGAAATTGCTGCTTGATCTAAGTCTGATCTAGTGTACAGTACCATAGAAATAATCCTATCTTCACTGGGGGCTGATAGGACCTTTAGGTCAGCTTGTGTGTTGGTCACTAAAAAGCATCCAAGCAAATGACTAATGGCAGCAGAAGTGAGAAGAGCCAATACTAGCATGTGAGCTGTTCAGTTTGCTACAGGACCTTACTGAGGTTGAGAGTTTCGCTGGATGAAAACTGTTAAACGTATAATCGAGAGACAGAGTAACAAGAGCTTTTGCTGTAAAACAAACTTTCACTGTGTAAGTTCGCAGATACATTGAAGTTGGTCATCCACAGAGGGGTTATCCTACAGTTGCTGCCTTGCTTTTTTTTCCCCCCACTTTTAAGGGAGTACTTCCTGCAGACATGCAGAATATGAGGCATTTTCTAGCCACTTTAGCCCATAATTGGCTGTATAAGCTGCTTAATCAAAATTGATAATGCAGAGGGAGAAAGGAAGCAGTGAAGATGGCTTGTCTTCCTTTTACAGAGAAGAGAAAAACCTGGCAGGCTGGGATGGGGGAAGGGAATGAAGATCTGTTAGTCACGGAGGAAGGCATGACCCTTACCACTGCAATCCACTGGGCTCCAGTTGCTGTATTTAAAGGATACAGTTCCTGTGGAATCACAGGCAGGGGTTTAGTGAGTTCTTTCTGGAAGGCTCTCTGGAATCTATGTTGTATGGGGTGAATGCCAGTGTTCCCTGGACCTATTGTTGCAGCCTTAAATCCCTACAGTGTGCTTTCTGAAGTCCCACAAAAGACAATTCAAGAGTAGCCTTATTTTTCTTCTTGTGCAAAGATCTTCAGACCATTTTTTTTTTTTCTTTCTGTTAAGTGAATTTGAGAAACAAGCCTAGCACAGAGAAGTGAAATTGGTCTGGCATAAATGAATCCTGTTTAAAGTCCTTCACTTCACCATAAAAGCATTAGGTTAAGCTTGTACAATTCTTGTGTTCAGTCCTGTTGGAGTCAGGCTGGGTTAGCCT